AAGAGTAAAGAGTAGAATTTAGAAAGAATAAAACAAAAATATGTGACAAAATCAAAAGACTTTTATGGAGTGTCTTCTGACCTTAGATTTTTGATTTAATTGGTAAATATTCTTGCCCCATGTTTAGGAACATAAAGTTGAAGGATAAAAAAAAGAAGAACTTAAGAGTCCATGGTTTAGAAAGTGACTTGCTACTTGTCATGAAATCAGTTTAGTGGGTTACAACTAGCATTTAAGTAATTTATGACAATAGGATACAATTATATCTACCAGAGTGTGTATCAGGTTGTTATGTAAAAATCTACTTTTGATTATGGTAAGCAAAGTTTGAAAAACTCTATTTAATATTTGTATATGCTTTTAGCATTTCTGTCTGTATTTTAAAGACAGTATCCATTCATTTACTCAGGTATTTGAGAACCCACTGCTCTTTCTCCATCCCATCTCCCATTCATTGGGTCACCACTATGTGCCAGATACTGTTCCAAAGCCTTTACATGTATTAACTCATTGTTTTCTTCCATTACATGAATGTTATTTTTATCCCAGTTTTTCAAAAGGAGAAGCTAAGGTGCCTAGTGATTATTAACTTGCCTGAAATTGCATAGCTGCTAAGTTGTGAATCTGGGATTCAGTTCAAAACCAGGCAGTCTTTTCTTCAGAGCCCTTTTTTCTAACTACCAAGCTTTAAATAGTTACCTATGTAAAAACACCTTTCTCAAGGTACTGTGATAAGTGCTGGAGGTACGTCTGAAATGGTTCTTGATCTCATGGAACTTAAATATTTATAAATATATTTACAATCTTCTATGTTTGTTAAAATATATAAATACATACAGACATACCTAATGTGGGAAAACACTATATATGGTTAAGTAACCATATGTAACTAGCATATTACCATGTTTCAAATTTCAGTATTATTGACTATAATTTCCATTGTATGGAAATTATAATTGTATGGAAATTTCATGCCATAATTTAACTATTCTTGTGTTGTCGGAAAGAAATTCCTAGTCCTTTCTTAGTAAGTAATATTGAATGCATTCATTATTGTCATTTCAGATTACTCTGTGAGGCTGTTTATAAAAGCATAAAAATTTCAAGTTACTGGTATCTGTTTCTAATTTTCTAAAGTAGTTTTTTTTAAGATTTATTTACTTATTTATTTGACAGGGAGACACAGCCAAACAGGGAACACAAGCAGGGGCAGTGGGAGAGGGAGAAGCAGGCTTCCCGCAGAGCAGGGAGCCCAATGCGGGGCTCGATCCCAGGACCCTGGGATCATGACCTGAGCCGAAGGCAGATGCTTAACAACTGAGCCACCCAGGCGCCCCGATTGTCTAAAGTTTATGCTTTAGCAGTAGTGCTGATCTACCTTCAAAAGCATTATATGTTAAATATTCAGTAGTTACAAACAAAACAAAATTCAGTAGTCAGAAGTGGTGTTCTATATTAAACTGTCTTCTTTCAAAATCTGTTTTTAATGTCATTGTAGCATGTATAAACCATTTCTAAATATTTTCTTTCATTCACTCAAATATTCATGTGCCTACTATGTTTTAGAGCATATCACGAACTTTCTTCTTCTCGTTGTCAATCATGTATCCAAAATGGGGTGTATAACATTTGCACGTACTTAGATCATTGGTGCCTAGTGTGTTCCAGGTTTTTGGGAGTTAGATAATAGGTTTAGGAAGATAAAGACAGCAGCTACCCTCTTGGACATAGCATAGTGAAGGAGGCTATAGCAACTTGCATGGAAACCTATTTGTCTCTTTTATAAGAAGTGAAATGTTTTGTAGACAGATGCATAGTCTTTAATACACACTAGTTTTGAAATTAAAAGGTATGTGGTTGGGCATCAGAATTTCTGATGGGCATTCCTATTATAATCCACTATCTTGAGATATTAATGTTTATAAAATGAGTTACACAGAAGGGTTAATGCTATTACTGATGAAAGTATTTTTTAAAAGACCTTTTAGGTTTTTTATGGTAACAGTTTGACTCTTAAATGTAATAATTCCGCAAGACTTTGTTTCTGCAATTTAAAAAACGGTTTCTTTGAGTCATCTAACTTGTTACCAAACAGTGGCATGCAGTGTGGATGCATGGTTTCCATTCAAATTTGAAGTTGCTTGGGAGTTTCCTGTCCCTTAATTTGGGGGATTTTTTTTTCAGTGCTTTTTGTTTCTCTTTTAGTTTAATAATGTTTTGAAGCACTGAAGTAAGCTGTCCATCTGCTTTTGTTGTTGTTGTTGTTCTGTTTTATTTTGTTTGTATTTTTAATTAGTGATAACCTGACTGAATGACCTCACCTCCCTCAGCAAATAAATGTCTCTTCCCATGAGGCTAATACCCGTAGCAGTTTATGGGACGGGGCCCAGTTGGAAAAATGTGGCCTATACCTTTTTTTTTTTTTTTTTTTTGAGTAGGCTCCACACCCAACCTGGGCTTGAGCTCATGACTCTGAGATCAAGAGTCACAGGCTCTACTGACAGCCCGCCAGGCCGCCCCGGCAGTGTACCCTCTTAAGGAAAATACTTTCCATGCTCATTTTTGTTTGGTCACCTAAAATTTATATTGATAACTGCTGTGACTTTCAAGTCCTCTTTAAAAGATCTCCAAATGTATCACTTCATGAAAATACTAGATGTCATTTGTAGGAATCAAATGGAGTTTCTGAATGGAGTTTCTGATTTTAGTGATTATATGTGATCCTAATTTTTAGTGGCTTTACTAAATGTGTATACAGTCTTGTTTTACAAATTCATTTACGTACATTGACTGGATTTTGAGTGAGACTCATTTGTAAAATTTAATTATTGTTATATCAGCCAGGTTGGAAAAACAAACATAATTGTTGGACTTGATTTCTTCTGGAAGATAGATTGGTATAGCAGATTACTTAAATCTCTCTGAGCCTCGATGTCCTCGCTGTAAAAGGAGGCAGGCACCCTGTCAGTCTTAGGAGTGGTAGATCAGGATGAAATAACATGAAATGCTCAGCACAGTTCATGGCATAGCATCAGTAAGTGTTAGCCTCAGTACCACCCCTTTCCCCAACTGTATTCTGCGACAGAATTGTAGTACAAAAGTGCTGATATGAGGCGCCTGGGTGGTTCAGTCATTGAGCGTCTGCCTTCGGCTCAGGTCATGATGCCAGGGTCCTGGGATCGAGCCCCACATCTGGCTCCCTGCTCCTCAGGAGGCTTGCTTCTCCCTCTCCCACTCCGCCTGCTTGTGTTCCTTCTCTCACTTTGTCTCTCTCTGTCAAATAAATAAAATCTTTAAAGAAAAAAAAAGTGCTGATGTTCTGGCTAGAAGATGTAGATTTAAGTCCTAGTTCTTCTACTGCATGCTTTCTTGGATCAGTCACTTGACCACAGACTGTTTGTTTTCTCTTCTATAAAATGAGGTTCTGAAAATTAAATGATGTAATGAGCAAGTGCTTCAGATCTAGGCTTTTTTCTTTATTATCTAGACTATTTATTATAACTTGCTTTATTTCCCAATAGTTGACATAAATTTTTATGTGCAAGGGGGAGGAGCTGTACTTCAGAACATTAACCCAATAGTTGGGTGGAGGACACATTTATTTGGAGGAGCAGAGTATAGGAGGCAATGCCATTGTCCTTCCAGGTAGTTTTAACACATACAGACCCAGTGAGAGGCTTCAAGCTGACGTAGGAAGGGCCGGGGGTTGCACTGAGTGGTAAAACAATCAGTTTAAAAAGATGGCTGTGGCTGCAGTGATTTCACTGGACCAGGTCTCTTGATTCTGTTCTTCATTAGTTTCTACCTCTCCTGGTAGAGTTCTTTCCTATATGCGATCCTGCCACTATGATCAGCTTTCTGAAGAGTGACCTACATTTTGTAATCTGCATTCCCCACAACCTGCAATGAATCTAAATCTCAGAAATATGTAATTTTCTGACACTGGACTATAAAAGGTTTTCATCAGTTGACTCTACTTTTTCAAACAGGAAGTGGTTCCACTTTCTCCTTAGGACATACTTTTTAGCTCTAGCTGGGAAATTTGTCATTTTCCATTTCTTGCCTGTTAACTTGACACAAGCTGTTCCATAGGCCCAGAGTATAACAGACCTCTCCCAGTGACTTTTTTTTCCCCTTTGGAAGCCCTTTTATTAAAAATTTTCTGATCAGTTATCCTAAGGTAATTTTAATTGCTTTATGACAAATGTATGTGATTATTGATATCAATATGATATTGATAATTTAGTTGTATTTTCTTTGTGTGGCTTGAGTATTCTGTAACTATTATAGAGTGCCAAACTTGAGGCAAAAGTAGAGTGAATTCTTAGATTTAAAATGTGACATACAAACTTCTTATCCTATCATTTTAATAATGAAATGTTTTAAATGTTCTTAAATAACAAAGGTGAGTTGGAGTGGGGAGGAAACGGGGACAGACAACCTGCCAAGGCAGTCACAGAGCCCCAGTACAACTTGATAGTTAGCCATTATTGTCCATTGATACGTGCATACTCTTAATGGAAGTAAGCTTCAAAAACGGGAGCTCCATGGAATTTCAATTTAATGACTTCCATGGAATTTAAAATGATTCCATAATTAAAATGGGGCAGGGCCCTCTGCTGTGTTTATTAATGAGTTCCCTTTTGTGCAGGGGTGTGGGTGATTTCCAGCTCTCATGCAACACAGAATACGATAGGTGGTCAGTCAGAGGCACCTACCAAGTGTTTAGACCTGTCTTTTAAGTTATTTTCATTTCTTCAGAAGAACTGAAGAATCTGTTGGGGCAAAGAGATTTGTGGGGTTTTGATGGATCTCCATAAAGCAAAAGCTGTCACTCTGACCACTCAGCATGTACCCCTCATTCATCTGAGGGTTCACATTAAAAGTGACAGGGTGGCGTAGTAGCAGCAGCCTCTCTGGTTTTCTTAGTCATGGCAGCAGTTAACAGTGCACGTAACACACCAACACTCAAGTCCTTATTTTTTGTTTTTGTTTTTAAGTCATTGAAATTATGAGACTATCATTCAGATGGAAGCATTGTAGTTCTTCGGAACCATTATGATCTCAAAAGGAAAGGAGAATGATACAGATACACTGGCTGAGGTGTTTTGAGGTGCATCGAAGTGTTCCAAGCTGTGACTTACCTTAACATGTTCTTGAAGTACCATGGCGTGGATTAAAAGGTATGCTTTAGAAATCTCCCAGTGACCCCAGGGTCATGGATAGAATGAACGCTCATGATTCTGTATTTAATTATCACAATTAAATTTTTAAGAGATTTTATATTTAGATTGTAGATGTGGTATGGATTTATGGTAATAGTACTTTTATTTATTTGAGAGAGAGATTTATTTGAGATTTTATTTATTTATTTGAGAGAGAGAATGAGATAGAGCATGAAAGAGGGGAGGGTGAGAGGGAGAAGCAGACTCCCTGCTGAACAGGGAGCCCAATGCGGGACTTGATCCCGGGACTCCAGGATCATGACCTGAGCCGAAGGCAGTCGCTTAACCAACTGAGCCACCCAGGCGCCCCAATAGTACTTTTTCTTTTGTTAAAAAAAACCCATATATCATAAGGTTGATGACTGATTTCTCCCTCCCTCCCTCCCCCCACCTCCTTTGAGATACAGTTATAGAAGACACTGGGGTAGATATTTTCCCTGGATTTTAATAGTAATGGGCTGTAATTTCTTTCACCAGATAGTTTAGGTATTAGTCATGTGTTGGTCTGTAATTAGCTTTGTGGTTTACATCGTAGACTAGTTTCTTTGCAGTGCTGTCATTTCATGGCCTGAATAGGAAATAGATAAATGCCTTAGTTGGAGCCTTAATTTGACCAAATAAAATAATTCTTATGTGGACCATTTATAGTTTGTGCTTGTTTTTGTCTTTTACAAAGAATTTTTCCTGAGAGGAAAATGCATGGCTCCTTATTAACAGTGATTGTTGTTGCTTCACTAATTGTATGTATGTAATTAATCATTTATGTGTTTGTGGTATGTAGTCCTCCTGTTATTTGTGGTTGCTAATAGTGGTAATTCTAGGTTTCATATTACCCACTCAACTGTCAAAAATTGTTAAGATTTTTATGTTTGTACATTTTATTTGACTGATGTAGTCAAAACCACTTTTTAATTATTTGTAAACAACCTAATTTTGTATTGTGTGCTTGCTACTAAATGTTTTCCTATGGATGGTGGAAGTGAATGAACCCAGGAAGAATGCAGAGTTTATTAATGTTACATTAGGTTCAGAATTCTTTATCTTTTAGGTAATAAAGAAAAATATGTTGGGAAGGTAATGGTTTAAATCATGGATAGATAAATTTAATAGAAATACAGTAATGCAGTCTGTAATTTTTATCGTTTCAGCTGTCTCAACGTTAAGATCCTTTTGATACATCAGCAGTTAAATTCTAAATGAAATTTAGTTATTAAACCTAAGACAAAATTGCTTTATATTAAATTCCAGTCTATAATGACAGCGATCTAATCAAGTTTCTAGGTAAAGTAGGCTGCTTATTAACCAAGGCAATCATTCACTTCAGCCGGGTATTTTATGTCTGATGGCACACAATAGTGTCTCCTCTCCAAAAAAAGATCTTTTCTGACATAATGGGTTGGAGATGATAGTCGATACATTGTTTACAAAATGTAATTCTCTATAATATTTGTTACTTTAACTTAAAAAATCTTTTTTTGGGGGTAGTGCTTGGGAATCTGTTTTGTTTTAACTCCACTGAGGATTCTTAATGTACAGCCAGGGTTGAGAACTCGTGTGGGGAAGTGTTCATAGAATTTATAGCTTAGTGGTTAAGAGCTTAGACTCGGGGGCCAGCTGACCTGTGTTTCAGATCTAACACTTAATTTTATTACTTTGACAGGTTGTAAAAATGATCTGGAAAAAAAGTTTAAATTTGTATCTTAAAAATGTAGTAAATAAGTATATACATATATAATTTATGTTAATGCATTTTATACATGTGTATATAAAAATACATATATGTGTCTCTGTATAAATATCTACCTATATCAATAAATTACACACACAGTGCTGGGTAGGAAGCCAGTGTTAGACTAACAGTGGTGATGATGATTAAATATCCGATCAGGAACCTGGGGGGGTGTAGAAGGGGGGTGCTGTTACATTTTTTTCTTGAGTCTTACACATTCTCATGATCTTCCTAGAGCTAAACAAACAATCAGTATTTGATTGATGTTTTCAGTTCTTTGGGCTTTTTCTCATCAGTTAAAGGTGGCCACTAGAGACCTGTAATTTATCTATGGTCCTCTTATCCTGCTAGGTTGATGTGTGTGTCTCTAAAGCTATGTTTTTTTTTAAATTGCAGGTTTCAACCCACTCATTTAGTGGGTCAAGAAATCGATTTAATGGGTTATGACCAGCATTAAGACAACATATTAGAATAGAAAATAAGATACCAGGTGCACTGAATGTAGAAAAGAGTATTTTAAAAAATACTTTTGTTTCAAGTTTTAAGATTTTACTTATTTATTCATGAGAGACAGGGGTAGAGAGCGAGAAAGAGAGGCAGAGGGAGAAGCAGGCTCCCTGCTCCCCGATGCGGGACTCAATCCCAGGACTCTGGGATCATGACCTGAGCCGAAAGCAGACGCTTAACCGTCTGAGCCACCCAGGTGCCCTGTTTCAAGTTTTTAAAATGCAGAAATAAACAAAATATATACCCATTTATGTGTGTGTTGATTGGATTGTTTAAGTACCACTAAGTATATGCCTACCATAGTCACAGATGTCCCTCACAGGTGCTGTTAGTTCTGTCTTTTTTTGCCTTGCTAAGAAGTGACCAGGATAGGTTCCATTTTGTGGCTTGTAATGGTACGCCATGCTCTATATCACCTTCAAGGATCACCCTACCATCCCTTTCGTTTGAAGTGAAGGTTATTACCGGAGAGTATCTAAGGAGTAGAGGAGAATAGGAGAACGTAATAACAGCTTTTGAGTGGCATTAATCAAGGCTGTTTTATCGAGTGTTCTAGTATACTGCCCCTTGGCATACATCCTGGTGTTTATTATCTATAGATCCGTGTCTTCAAACTGCCAGTGGCAGCCCATTCTGGAGTCAATTTAATAAGTTGTTGCCTTTCTCCCCTAATTAAATGAAACAGAAAAGAACAGAATAGCAGATGTCATGATTATATCCCAAATTTTATAAAATTTTTGTTTCAGGAGCATGTATATATACTGAATTGCAGAGACCCAAGTTCTGGTAACGATCATCTGAGAAACAATATGAAACTCAGTCTTATAAATCGAGGTTGCCAAACTGACCTCAGTCAGAAAAGACTTCAGATATCTAAAGCAGGATTGTCAGCCCAATAGTCTTACCTCTGATGGTAGGTTATAATTAATTAGATGTGAGACGTTGTTTTTGTTTTTTGTTGTGTTGTTGGCTCCCTAGCTTGCTTGCCCTGGTAAATATTTATAAAGGCTCATCGGTAAGAAATTTAAAATATTTCCTAGTTGAGGAATTTACTCTTATGCTACATTGATGAAAGTGACCCATTCAATTAAAAAAAAACCCAAATCTGATAATATATACTAAAACCCACCCATTTCATTTTCCTATTCCTTATATGTTAAGACTTTTTCATGTAATAGGTGCTTCTTTAATTCAGAAGGTAGATAAAAATTTAATGTTGCAAAAAGATTAAGCATAAATCAGATACGTGACAATATTTTGGGTGGTTAAATGTTAGAACTTTTAATTTTTTTTGGATTAGTGCCTGTGCCTACCACGATGTCCTCATAACAGGCAGATATTTGTTTTACAGATTTGTTGAAGATGATCACAGTTTCTGGTGAATATTTTAAAATAAATAAAGCTTCATGGTAGGACAATATCAGCATATGTATGTTTTAGATTGTGTCTAAAATAGTTTCTTCTGGTAAATTGTTTCATAGCAATGGAATTTGTATATTAGTTTTCTACACTTGGGAGTTGAAAAATGGAAGAAATCTTTGCCAGAATAGGAGGCCAAAAGATAATAAGCACAATTCATCTTTCTCTGCAAGTTCTTGGAATTTGAGTCAAACATACATAGTTACTGCTCTGAATTGGGTACGATACACTAAACTTAAAAATCATGTTTTGAAATTACAGAAGATAAAGTAATAACCACCACTCCCCCCAACCACTGGATTAAGTTCCCCAATGATGGCTGCTTGTCTTTGCACTAGTAGGTACAGGCATATGTTGCTTGTGGTGAAGGTAGAAAACAAGAGCCTATGGATTCTATTACTTTGTTTCCCCAAAACCTCCCAGCCCCCACCTGTCCTTGCCTTCTCCCAGACTCTCCAATTCTTCCTCCCCTTATCAACAGCATTGCTTGGCTTTTCATCACTGTTTTAGTCCTCTTACTACGACCTCATCACTTGCTACCTCATGCTGCTTGTCCTGTTGAGAGCACAAGGTTTCATGTCACTTTGTGGCATTTGTTCTTCAAAACTGTGTTCCTTCACTTGAGTTATCATCTTGCGTGAGAAGGATAGCAACTTGTATTCTTGAGAAGGAGAGCAACTTGTATTCTTTTTCTTTGGTAGATTTTTCTTCCTAAAGTGTAGTTTAGAAAGAAACTAAACTACGTTCTAGTTTAGCTGTTGGCCTAAAATGGAGATCAGTGACCGCAGGTGGTACTCCAACCACATACCTAGGAGTAGAAGAAAGAACATAGCATAAATTACTATGTTAATTATTAGATATGGTTCCCGTATACTTTTGGTTACTAAAAACAAGTTAAAAACACTTGAGGAATGAAGATGAGCTGCTTCGAGAGATTTTAAAAAGATGTTTTTGATTCTGAAAATAACAGTTTAAAAAATCTTTTGTATAAATGGTAGCATTGTTAGCATTGGGCACTTTCTCAAGCTAATTTATATTTCATTACTTTGAAAAACAGTGCTATTTTGCATGTGTCTGGGATCTGGGATATCTTATTAAAAGAAAACTTTAGAATCCCATGTCAAGCATGAACCTAATTAAAAAGTGGAATATGCTGTACCAGTAATTGTCATGAAAATCAGGGACTATCTTCCTTTTCAAAAACACAACAATGTCAGTTTATCTTGTAATATATATATTTTTAAAGATTTATTTATTTAATTTAGGTTTGGGGGAGGTGAGTGTGCGCAGGAGCCAGGGGAGG